CCATCTTAGCTGCGTCCATCAGGTTCTGTCTGAAAGTTACCAAGATCTTAGTTACCACCTCAAGTCATGCCTCTTATACTTTGGCCTTTTCCCTGAGGATTACTCGATCAGTGGTGTGAGGCTCATTAATTTGTGGATAGCAGAGGGTTTTGTAGAGAACAAAGAGAATGATGGTCAAATTCTTGAGGAAGTTGCAGAAGAATACTTAAACGAGCTTATTGCTAGGAGCTTGGTTGAAGTAGTTCATATGTTCCCCTATGGCCGAGTTAGACGTTGCAGGGTCCATGATTTGATGCATGATTTTATTCTCAGAAAGTGTGATGAGCTGAACTTTTGTCAAGTGAAGAAAAGTAAGAGACTGGGGTTGCATGAGTGGACTCGGCGCTTGTCAATTGACGAATGTGTTGACGATGATGCTGTGAAGAAAAGTGTTGCAAGCTATGGGCTAATACGGTCCTGTTTTCTTTTTGGGATTGATCGACGCACACCAACTTCTGTGTTCGAATCATTGTTCTCAAGGTTTAAGCTCTTGGCAAGATTAGACTGTGAAGATGCACCTCTTGATTATCTTCCTAAAGCAGTTGGAGACTTATTCCATTTGAATTATTTGAGTTTAAGGTATACTCGTATCCGCACGATTCCCAAGTTCATTGGTAAGTTGCAGAATCTTGAGACCCTGGGCTTAAAACATACTCTTGTGCGTGAATTGCCAGATGAGATTAACAGACTTGTTAAGTTGCGTCATCTTTTGGCATATGGCATCCTTGGTGGTGTGAAATTGAAGGTAGGAATTGAACATTTAAGTTCACTGCAGAAGTTAAGAATGGTTGAAGCAAGTGAGAATGGGGATGTGATTATGAAAGAACTAAAGAATCTGAAGCAGATAAGGGATTTGGGGATTGTTAATATAAGTAGAAAAGATGGGACATTATTATGCCATGCTATAGAGTGCATGACTTATTTGAGGTCATTAGCAATTAAAGCAGCTGAAGAAGAAGTAATTGAGTTGGAGTCATTTAGTGTTTCGCCTGAGAGTCTCCAACGCCTTTACTTAGATGGGCGTTTGGAAAAGTTGCCACATTGGGTTCCCAATCTTAAAAGTCTTGTGAAGCTGCGCTTGTGGGGATCAGAGTTAACAGAAGATCCATTGCCTCTTATAAAAGACATGTCAGCACTGGTAGAGCTCCAACTTATTGAATGGTATGAAGGCAATGAGTTGTGTTTCCAAGGGGGATGGTTTATGAACATGAAGATACTGAGAGTTCGGTGTTCCACTTTGATAACATTAAAAGTAGAAGAAGGAGCAATGCCTTACCTTCAATCGTTCTATTTAAATGAACGCCCTGAAATGGTGCAGGTGCCAACTCATGTTCAACAAGTTATCATTGAGGATATTACATGAAAACTCATTTTCATGATTTGTTATGTAATTTGAGGTAGCTATGTATCCTTAGTATTATATACTTTTAATTGCATTTAAAAGTCAATATTATTTGTTATGTAACAATTTGATTCACCCAATTTCATCTTTTAATATATCCCAACAGTCATATTTCTATAAATTGATTGTTTGAGCTTATTTTTCTGTTGGACTTTTTAAGTTATGCAAATTAATTGATATTTTGAATTATATATTTAGTTTCTATAATTAATATTTATTTATAAATTAATTTTTGCACTTAATTAAAAGTTATATTTTAATTCTTACAAGTAAGTTTTGTTATATTTTGCTTTCTATCGTTTACGTTTGAATCTTCATTGTTTTTTTTTTAAATATTTTTTTAATATAAAGATTTTATTTGTACATATGTCAAATATATTAAATTTATATTTTAACAAATAATAATTTGAAAAAAATATAAGACACTAAATTAATTGAAAAAAATTGTATTAAAACTTAATTTTATTTTTATAATACTTAATTCCTGTCTAATAAAAAAATTATTTAAATTTATATTTTTATATTTAATATTACTTTTAGAAAAATAAATAAAATATCAACATTAGAATTTTTAATATATAACCATCTCCCTTTAAATAGAATGTAATTTTTATACAATATTAGTTTTATAGAGTATTTGAAAAATAATTTTTATATAAATAAAATATTTACTATATTTGATATGTGAATATATATTGTTATTTAAACTTTTATTAAATCAATTTTATTATATAAGTGAATTTTTAACTTTTTATCATAATATAAATAAGTCGATCTTATTATATTGACTCAAAGTTTTAATAATTAATCTTTATGATACTTTTTCTATTAATTAAATATTTTATTTATAAAAAATTATTTAAATATATTTTTTTCAACTTTAATAAAAATTATTTATTATATATGAATTGTTTTTAATATTTTATTAACTATAATTATAATTTTTTTTATTAATCTACGTATTTAATAAATAAAAAATTCTATATCAATAAATATGTCATATGTAAATTATTTTATTTAAACACATTCTAGAGTTTATGCTAACTAATGACATAATATATTAATAGTATATATTAATATACCAATAGATTATTGGAGAATGATGATATATATAGGTACCCATGCATCATATTTATTCTGTGTGCAAGGTCACCATGTCCCAACACCCTCATTTCAAGTGATGCCTTGCAGCCAAAAAATAATATTGAATTTGCCCAATAAGTTATGTGTATGTGTGTGACTTGTGAGTGTTATTTTTACATGTGGTTCATTGGATAATTTTCCAGTTATTTCAAGTCAATTAATTAAATCTTTCCTTCAAATAAAGTTATTTTTTTTACTTAAAATTATTAAATTCTCATTCTTTTACTCAATTTTTACAACTTGAATTTCTTAGACATTCTTCTACTCACACCCAAAATTTACATCTTATGAAATTATTTAGATTTTAGTTTTAGTAACTTAACCTCTAAATCCTTTTAAAAAATATACCATAAAGAAACTGAATATAATCAAAGCTTAATATCCTGTTTGGCATCAACTTTACAGGATATACAAATTAAAGAATCAAAAGTATAATCAGAGCTTAATATTTTTAATTATATTGTATATCTAAATCGAAGATTTTTTTATTATTAGAAAATTTTCATTTAGTAATTAAAGAAATTAATGTAATTAAACTAATTTATTCATTTATTACTAATTAAATTAAAAATAAAAGAAATTATAGAATTTATTAATTTTAAAAATAAGATATTCAATTTTAATATAATTTTTGTTTTTATTTTATTTCTGGTTATGCACTGTTATATTAATTATAAAAAAAAACTCTTTTGTTAAACTTGATTGAAAAACACTTAATATAAAATATAATTTAAAATTTAGTTTAAATTATTTATTATTTATTATTTAAATTATTTTATTGTATCTCTAATTTGAAGATTTTATTATTATTATAAAATTTTTAAAAAAATTATAGAATATACTATAATAATTCGTAAATATTATTATTATTGTTTAAGATATTTTATATTATAAAATTTTTATTTCTAATTATACACTATTAGAGTAATTACAAAAAAATTAAAAAAAAATATTATCTCGTATCAAACCTAATTAGGAAGTATATAATATAAAATATAATTTAATATTTAGTTTAAATTAATTTTTTTAAATTATTTTATTGTATCTATAATTTAAAATTCTTTTTATCATTAGAATTTTTTTAAAAAAAATACTAAATATTATTCCATAATATCATCATTTTATAATAAAATATATGAATATAGACATCACAAGAATTATAGAATATACGATAATAATAATTTTATATTACTATTCTTGTTTAATATAAAATATAATTTAATATTTTGTTTAAATTATTTTATTTTATCTTAAATTAAAAAAAAAATATCATTAGAAATTTAAAAAGAAAAACTAAATATTAATGCATAATTTCTCTTTAATAATTATTTTAAATCTTATGATATTTCTAATCTAAAGATTTTTTATTATTAAATTTTTTTTAAAAATAATTATAAGATATAATATAATAATTAATTAATACTATTATTAGTCTTGTTTAAAGTACTCTATTTTGATTAAATTTTAGTTTTAATTTTATCTCTGATTATATATTTATAAAAAAAAAATTATTATATTAAATTTTATTAAAAATCATATAATATAAAATATAATTTAATATTTAGATCAAATCATTAATTATTTTTTGTTTAAATTAATTTATTATATATCTATGATAGAGATTTTTTATACTATTAGAAAGTTTTAAAAAAGAAATATTAACTAATATTCAACAATTTCGTTAGATAATTATTTTTAATTTTATTATATATCTAAATCAAATATTTTTTATTATTAAAAAGTTTTTAATTAATAATTAAAGAAATTAATATAATTAAACTAATTTATTTATTTACTATTAATAAAATTAAAAATTAAAAATATTATAAAATTTATTTCTTATATTTAAAAACTCTTAAAAAAAACTTTCTTATATCACGTGTGCAGAAATGGATTAGGTTTAGTATATTATACACATTTCTATAGCTCACTTCTTGATTGTGTGGTCACAGTTGTTGGCAGATTCATCTCATTTTCTTCATTAATTGGTTTGTTCAATTCCGCGTTCACCTCTGTACCGTAGACTTCTACTTACGAACTACCAATCAATTATTGCCTCCATTTTTTTTTTTCATTTTTTTATACTTAAATTTTATGTCAATTTTCCTAAAAATTTAATTTTCTCTTTTAAAAATGTTATTCTCATTAATAAAAAATATTGAATATCTTTTAAAAATATTTTTATTTTATTCATTTAAAATGTTGGTAACATATTTTTAACATTAGATAAAATTTATTTAAAATTATAAAAAATAATGTGAATATTAATTTTAATTAATAATTTTGATTTGTACTTTTACAATTTTGACTAATAAAATAAAAATATATTTGAAAAATTTGTTAAACTTCATCTTTTAATTATTTTTTCTTGGAAAAGATAATAAAGTAAAAGACATGAAATTCTAAAAGCAGCGTCAAGAAAGAATGTTTTTAGCTGTCTCTCCCCATAATTGGAAAGCAATATTTGAACGGACTTCTCACTACGCACAGAGTTTCTATGCAAAAGAATGTTTCTCAGGCACTTTCAGCTCTAAAACCTGGTTTTCATCTCCCTATTCACAAGCTCAATTTCTACCTTCTATAATTTACTTTGCCTTTTTTGTTTAATCTTATATTTTTATTAAGATTGGTTTCAATTTTTGTTTGTGTCTGGAAATTTAACCATTATTGATACTCCAAACTTTTCTATTTTGATTTATATCAGAATAAGTAATGTTGCTATGAGCCATTTGTGAGTCTGACTTATGTACTCTGTATTTGTCGTAATTTTCTGATTTATCAGACTTTCAGTTTGCCACATGTAGCCGAGTAATTTCCGTATTTTAGTTTCTATTATTTAGCGTGTTTGGAGCTGAGTTAGTTGAAGTGGATATTTTGTGTGATGCTTAATGTGCCAAAGATTAAGATCAGATTTTTGAAACTACTATTTTGCTCTACTTGAAGAACTATACAGATGAGAAATTATTGATTGTAAAATGATTTATGATTTGGGAAATTCTATTGGCAGTTACTGTGTTAAAACTTTGAAGTGTTAATCTCAACGCTTGTTTTACCAACATAATGATTATCCTGAAGAGGTTTTGTATACAAAGTTGAAGAAGATTTGAAGAGTATCTACTATGACTGGTTTTATATTTGATTTTTAAGGTCTGTGTCTATAAATCCATGATGGTTGCAAACCTCTCAGCAAGCTTAGCTTTCCACTTTGATAACATTAAAAATAGAAGGAGCAATGTCTTACCTTCAATTGTTGGAATTACGTGAACCCCTGAAATGGTGCAGGTGCCAACTCATGTTCAACAAGTTATCAAATACGGATACATTTGGAAGTGACGAAATGATGATTTTTATTTCGTAGTTCATTTTTATTATATGACTTTAAATTATTTGAGAAAAAATAAGTACAAACCATTTATTTTGTACAAAATAAATTTATAAATTAGTATTTGGTAAAAAACAAGATGATATTTTCTAAACACACACAGATAACAAAACTTGTTTCCCTTGCCATGAACACACTGTAATTATTGTTTAAGTGATTATGTCTCTATGCAAATAACAAGAATGAAGGATAAAAAAAATTAAAAATTGAATGGAAAACAAAACGCAGGTATTTGTGTTCTTTTGTTTGGATTCTTTCATCTTTTCCTTTCGGGCGAGCACACAAAAATTTATTCAACCAAGTGTGTACATACGAGTAATTAAGCTTGCATGTGTAATTTGTCATATAACATTATATGAAAATTATTTTTTATTAATTAACGAATAAATTTGTCAAGTTTAAGATAATATTTATTAACTTTTTGTTTAAGATAACATTTAGTTTGAAGATAAGACTAAATGGCATGAGCTGAGTCCAGATTCATAATTATGGTAAAAATTGAGGATGAAATAACACCAAAAAAAATATGTAGCTTTTGCTTTTGACTTATTATTTTTCTTTTTTTGTGGTTTCTGATTTGTGTCATTGTGGAATTATTTGATAAAGCTGAAATATAAGAATTAGCTTATGCTACAGCTTCCCAAACATTCACAACCTCAAGATAAGTTTCCATACTTACTGTCCAAATCTCATAATTGTTCCCATTCACTAACAAGTAGTAAAAAGAATTTAGTTAATAAAATATTCTTTGACTTATTAAAATTAAAAATAAAATAAATTCTAACAACTTTTGAAAGGCACGTTTCAACAATATAAAATAATAAAATAGTTGAACTAAGCTTCCAATCACTTTCTCTTCTTATAAGCGTTTACTTTGTGAGGCTAGTTGAACAAGTTTATGTGTGATTATGCTGTCATGCTAGTTTGGGGTTTTCTGTATTAAAAAAATAAAAATCAAACAGCTAGCATCGATCACGCTGAATAGTATTCTGACTTTAAGGGTTGCATTTGATCAACTCCAATATTAATTTATAGTTTGCTTGAATATTAGAATCTCATGCAGTTTGAACTTTCAACTCTGGTTTTCCTCTACCTAGTAAGTTTCCCATTTCTGTAAGTATCCCTCCCTTCAATTCAATATCTTTTGATCCAGAATGGTTTAGATTTTGTTTGTGTGGCTGAAAATTGAACTGCTATATATGATTGAAAAGTTCGTTTGTTCTTTTTCATTGAGATTAAAAATCTTCGCATTACAACATTTGGGGACTCTAACGTACGTGTTTTCATAAATTTCGTAAGAATTCAGGGATTTTAATGGTGTTACAAATCCATTTGAGTAAGAATTTACAAATCCATTTTGTTTGTGCTAGCTATTTCCATGAAGTTTTGCCATATAACAAAGAGAAATTATATTTATATAAAAAAATTATAACAAATTATACAATAAAACAAGAAGAAGAGAAAAAAAGTGTGAAATAAAATTATTGATATAATGAAAATTTGTAAGTATGTCTCTCCTTCTTTCTATCTGAGCTGAAAAAAATATATAAATATTTTTAGTTTAATCTAATTAATTAAATTTGAAGTGCGTAAAGACCACCAAAAAAAAAATTGTGGGCCCAATTAACCGAGCTTGGTAGTTCATTTTTCCAGCTCCACTTTCAGTGAGTGCAGCAGTTAATGAGAGCCAATTTTTTTTGTGTATATATTATACTTGATGCTTGCCATAGGCAACTTTAATTCATCATTGCAACCTAAGATTAATGTGCCTTACTTCTTGTATTTATTTCATCAGATGGCAGAAATTGCCGTGAATCTTGTAACTGACAAGTTGATTCCTTTACTGGAAAATGAAGTTAATCTGGCCAATGATGTGTGTAGCCAACTTGTGTTAGTGAAAGTTCAATTACGACTAATAAGAGCATACCTTAAAGATGCAGACTCAAAGGCAGAAATAGTAAAAACCGGTAATGTGGTGAAAGAGTGGGTGACTCAAATGAGAGAAGTTTCTTTTTACATTGAAGATGTCATTGATGAATATTTATACCTAGAGGATAATATGCTTCAAGGCAGGGACTTGTGTGGTGTTGTTGGTATGATTGTATGTAAAATTTATGACTTTCTTAGAAGTGTAATTGCCCATCATGGGATTTCAGCACAACTTGGTGAAATTGAAAAAAGATTAGAGGAACTCAACAAAGCAAAGGAAACTTATGGATTGAGTTCATCAGCTTCAGAATCAAGTAGTGACACTACACTACATTATCTTCGACAGGGTGCCCTTTTTGTTGAGGATGATCAACTTGTGGGGGTTGAACCCACCAAGCAAGTACTAACCAATTGGTTATTGGAGAATGGTAGTCGCACTGTCATCTCAGTGGTGGGCGATGGAGGATTTGGTAATGTCTTTTCTACTTTCTTGCATGTGCTCGTGAGCATCATTAATATAAAAACTTGTATATAGTAAATTTTTATCAAAAATATGATATATTACAAAATTTGATGTATTAATAATATTAAATATTATAGTTTTTAATTAAAAACTTACTATTTGATAATTTCTTAACATGTGTTCTTAGATACACATTAAAAGAAATATATTTTTATGAATTTATTTAAGTTATCTCATGAGATAAATAAGTACATCTTAACTGAACCAAAGAAATTATGACATCATATAAAAAATTATAATTTTTTTATTTAATTTTTTATAGACAAAAATGTAACAGAATAGCATATATATTCTAACTTTTTTTTTTTGTTATTTTTGTATCAAGGAAAAACAACCATTGTGAACAAGGTATTCAACGAGCAAAAGGAAAAACATTTTGATTGCTATGCATGGGTCACTGTGTCTCAATCACTTGGGGGGAAAAATCTCCTGAAGACTTTGAGAAGGAGATTTTATGAGGAGGCCAATGATAAAAATGCAACTAAGGAAATTAGTGACATGGACAATGATACTCTGGTAAGAAAATTACGGGAATACTTACATGAAAAGAGCTATATGATTGTGTTTGATGATGTGTGGGAGGAGAGCTTTTGGGGAGATGTAGAATATGCATTACCAAGAGGCAAGGGTAAGATAATCATCACCACAAGGCACAAGAAAGTTGCTGAGTTTTGTGGACGTTCTGGACCAATTCATGTCCATGACATGAAACCACTAAGTCCAGATGATGCTTGGAAGCTTTTTTGTAGTAAGGCATGTCCCGAAGGTTGTCCTGATGATTTGAAAGGATTGTCTTTGCAGTTTGTTAACAAGTGCAATGGATTGCCACTAGCAATTGTGGCTATTGCTGGTCTCCTCTCAACCAAAAACGTAAGTGTTTTAGAATGGAAAAAGGTATACGATAGCCTACGTTCAAAACTTTCAAGTGATCCCTATCTTAGTAGTTTACACCAAGTTTTATCTGAAAGTTACCAAGATCTTAGTTACAACCTTAAATCTTGCCTCTTATACTTTGGCCTTTTCCCTGAGGACTATTCAATTAGTTGTGTGAGACTTGTTAATTTGTGGATAGCAGAGGGTTTTGTAGAAAACAAAGAGAATGAAGGTCAAACACTAGAAGAAGTAGCAGAAGAATACTTGAGTGAGCTTATTGCAAGGAACTTGGTTAAAGTGGCTAAAAAATATTCGTATGGTAGGGTTAGAAATTGCCGGGTCCACGATTTAATGCATAACTTTATTCTCAAAAAGTGTGAGGAGCTAAAATTTTGTCAAGTGAAGAAAAGTCAGGAGTTTAAGTTACAAGAATGGACTCGGCGCTTATCAATTGACACATACATTGATGATGTTTCTTTGGAAAGAAGCGTTGCAAATTATAGACTAACAAGGTCTTGTTTTCATTTTAACATTACCCACGATATGCCAACTTCCATCTTTGAATCATTGTTCTCTAGCTTTAAGTTGTTGGTTAGATTAGACTGTGAAAATACACCCCTCAGTTATCTTCCTAAAGCAGTTGGTAACTTACTCCATTTGAAATATTTGAACTTAAGGAATACTAGTGTTGAGATGATTCCAAAATTCATTGGCAAGTTGAAGAACCTTGAGACTTTGGATCTTAAAAATACTTATGTGCGTGAATTGCCCTTAGAGATCAATAAACTTACTAAGTTGCGTCTTCTTTTGGTATATCACACTGATTCACATATCTTAGGTGTGAAATTAAAGGAAGGGATTGGTCATCTAAGGGCTTTACAGAAGTTACGCATGGTTGATGCAAGTGATGATGAAGATAGCATTATAAGAGAACTGAAGAATTTGAAGCAAATGAGGCATTTAGGCATATGTATGCTAAATAAAGAAAATGAAGAATTATTATGCAGTGCCATAGAGAGCATGACTAATCTATGCACATTGGCAATTAAGTTCATGAGTAAAATTGATCAAGTTCTTCACTTGGAATCATTAAGAGATCCTCCTCAACACCTCCAACGCATTTACTTATATGGGCGTTTAGAAAAATTGCCAAATTGGATTTCAAAGCTTAAAAATCTAGCCAGATTGCGGTTGTATCAATCAGGATTAATAGAAGATCCATTGCCTCTTCTTAAAGACTTGTCAACGTTGTTGGAGTTTGATCTTTGGGAGTCCTATGAAGGTAATGAATTGTACTTTCAAAAGGGATGGTTTATGAATTTGAAAGTATTGAAAGTTGGCTTGTCCACGTTGGTAACATTTAAAATAGATGAAGGAGCAATGCCTCACCTTCAATTGTTGGAATTATCTATACGCCCTCAAACAGTGCAAGTGCCAACTCACATTCAGCAACTCATCAAATCATGATATGGAGGATTTTACCTAGTCTTTGTAGTGGCAAAATGATTTACAATGGTTATGAGGTTTGTGTATATGTAAAAGGACTTGTAAATTTCATTATAGTACGTATGTAACTTTTGTTTTTCATGGCAACAATTTGTAATGATAAAACCAGTGAGATTATTAGTATTAATACAAAGTGAGCTTAATATTTAAAATAAAATCCACGTAAAGTAGAATTTTCTTATACCCGTATAAGTCTAAAAACTCTTACATTTGGTCTAAGTCTTATATTTAACGAGTTATAATTTATTACTTCATTAACCGTTAAATGTAAATTAAATGAAAGGTTCAGATTAAGTATAAATTTTTTTATATTTACACCGGTTATAAGAAGATGCTTCCCTTATCCATATATATATGTTTGTCTGTGTGTTTGTGTATATTTTTTTTACATATGTAAGTATATTGTATTTTATTTATCATTGAATTTATTTCTCCAAATGTATCTCTGTGAAATTTTATCTTTCATTGGATAACTTCTAGAATTTTGGGATAGGTGAATTTATAATCTTTACTAAAAATATGTTAAAGATTATACTATTGTTCCTCCTAATCTTTTAAATATTTTTTCTTGAAAAAGATAATAAAGTAAAAGACATGAAATTCTAAAAGCAGCATGAAGAAATAATGTTTTTAGCTGTCTTTCCTCATAATTGAAAAGCAATATCTGAACGGACTTCTCACTACACACAGATAGTTTCTATGCAAAAGTATGTTTTTTTTTTTGGACAAAGAATCTCAGGCACTTTGAGCTCTAAAACCTGGTTTTCCATCCCCTGTTCACAAACTCAATTTCTCCATTCTATAATTTACCTTGTCTTTCGTTTAATCTTATATTTTTATTAAGATTGGTTTCAATTTTGTTTGTTTGGAAACTTAACTGCTATTACTTCAAACTTTTTCTATATTGATTAATCATCAGCATGAGTAATGCTGCTATGTGTCATTTGTGACTCTGACTTATGTCCTCTGTATTTGTTGTAATTTTCGGATTTATCAGAGTTTCACTTTGCCATAAGTAGCCGAGTATTTTACATATTTTAGTTTCTAAATTTCTATTATTTAGTGTGTTTGGAGCTTAGTTAGTTGAAGTGATATGCTTAATGAGCCAAAAATTAAGATCAGATTTTTGCAGCTGCTATTTTGTTCTATTTGAAGAACTATCCTGAAGAGGTTTTGTATAAAAAATTGAAGAAGATTTTAAGAGTGGCTACCATTACTGATTCTCTATTGGATACTACTATTGGAGTTTTAAGATGTGTGTCTATGCATGATGGTAGCAAATCTATCAGCAAGCTTAGTTTTGTTTCTTTGTTACAGGTTTATTTCATCAAATGGAAGAAATTGCTGTGAACCTTGTGATTGACAAGTTGATCCCTTTACTTAGAGATGAAGTTAATCTTCAGGGAGGAGTGCCAAACAAACTTGAGTCACTAACAACTAGTAAACAGAATCTGACTAACAAGATAATCTTTGACATTCAAATTAATAAAAATAGTAAAAAAAAGTTAACAACTCTCTAAAGACACGTTTTAACACTCCTCCTTGTCTTGAAAGTTGCATACTCCAAGCTTTGTCCTAAAAAAACTCAAACCTGCTAAGTGGAAATGACTTGATAAAGATATCAGCAGCTTAGTCTTCAGTTGTGCAATAAACCAAACTTATATCTTTATTTTCCTACACTTCTCTTAAATAAAACAACTTGACTTTGAAATGATTAGTCTTTCCATTAAACAAAAGATGGTGTGATATTGAAAGTGCTGCTTGATTATCGACAAAAATTTAGCTTTAGTCTTGCTATAAGCTTGAATCTGTTAAAATATTCTTTAATCTTAATTAATAGCTGTTCCTGCAACAATGAATTCAGCATCTGCTGTTGATTGACATACAATCTCTTGCTTTTTGCAACATTAAGAGAAAACACATGAACCCATATTAAAACAATAGCTGAAATACTCTTCATATCATCCAAGCTATCTGCCCAATCACTATAAAAAAGATTGAATAACTTGAAATTTTGTACCTTGTAGTAATCGAGTCCATAGTTGATAGTTCCTTTGACGTATCTTAAAACTATCTTTGCTGCCTTCAAATGTAATTCACTGGCACAGTGAATGAACCTTGATAGCAAGCTAACTTAAAATAAAGTGTCAGGCCTTAAAGCTGTAAGATTTAGACACCCAATCAAACTCACCAAATGAGCTTCATCAACTCTATCAAATCCATCTTCTTTGATTGAATTCTCCTTTTGATTCATAGGAGTGTTCATTGCTTTGGATTCATAGAAGTTATTGAGTTGGAGTCATTAAGTGTTTCTCCTGAGAGTCTCCAACGCCTTTACTTAGATGGGGTTTGGAAAAGTTGCCAGATTGGGTTCCCAAACTTAAAAGTCTTGTGAAGCTGCGCTTGTATGAATCACACTTAACAGAAGATCCATTGCCTCTTATAAAAGACTTGTCAGCACTGATAGAGCTCCAACTTTAGTAATAATACGAAGGCAATGAGTTGTGTTTCGAAAAGGGATGGTTTATGAATATGAAGGTATTGAGTGTTAAGCATTCTACTTTGGTAACATTGAAAATAGAAGGAGGAGGAATGCCTTACCTTCAATTGTTGCAATTACTTGGACGCCCCCCTCAAATGCTGCAGGTGCCAACTCATTGTTTGTTCAACAAGTTATCGTATACAGAAGACTATATTCCTACTTATAAGATCTTTTCATCATCACAATCGACTCTAATTCATACGATTACACTTTTAATTGTTTGAATCATTTTTTGTTCTCCAATTTCACTCTTAACCAACCAGTGTTTTTATTTATTAATTTTTCTCAGTTTGGCGCATGAAAATTATGCTTCCTTGCATTAAACCAAACTGACCTAAAACTTCTATGGACCTTTTAGATTGGGGTCTATTTTAGGCCCTTTGAGCTTTTAAGCCCTCTCAAATGGGTCAGGGTTAATTCATTTGCCAGCTTTAGTTATAGTTAATAAGTAGGTGCTATATTAACAATAACTTATTTTATATAAAAGTTTTAAACACAAAATTTAACTTTAAAAATTTAACATGTTCAAATTTAAAAGAAGCTGCGCTTGTATGGATCACACTTAAAAGAAGATCCATTGCCCCTTATCAAAGACTTGTCAGCACTGATAGAACTTCGACTTTATGAATCATACAAAGGTAATGAGTTGGGTTTCAAAGAGGGATGGTTTATGAATATTAAGGTTTTGAGAGTTCATCATTCCACTTTGGTAACATTAAAAAAAGAAGAAGAAGCAATGCCTTACCTTCAATTGTTGGAATTATATGGAGTCCCCCCTCAAATGTTGATGGTGCCAACTCATGTTCAACAAGTTTATGTGTTCTTTCCTTTGTAACGAAATGATTTACAAAAATTGAGAAGGAGGCACTTAATTAATGGCCCAACAAAATATCATCAATCCTTTTTCGTTCCTTTGTAACTGAGATTGTTTATCAATTAAATAGTGGTGTAAAGTTATTGAGCTCGATTACTTTTGAAGTTAATTAGTAGGTCTCATCTCTACTTAAACGTAATATGTACTAATTTTTAAATCATTACATCATTTGTTATTTTTTTTTATCTCCTGAGAAATATAGTTAAGGTGAGTTTAGATACACCGTTTAATTAAGCGTTTTTTTAATAAGATTTTTTTCGTAATAATTTATATTATAATTTTAATCATAAAATTAATTAGAATAAGTTAGAAATAATTTATTTTAATAAGTCATTAAAAATTTTATTGAAATAAGTTAAAAAGAGTTTATTGAAGTTATAAGTTATTTTGGTAAGTTGTTCATAGATTTTTTAGACTATATTTAGTAAAAGTAATTTGTAGTTTATTTAACAATTTATAATTTATTGACTTGCTTGATAAGCTTATTATTTTTTTAATAATTATTAAAATAAAATAAAACAAAGACAATTTTTTAGGGTTTTTTTTGCCACCCCTGTTATCGTCAATTTTATCCACGTAAGGAAAGAATTTTGTCCATGCCAAAGACGAAACAGTATTTAAAAAAAAAATCAAATCTAAATAAGTGTAACACATAACGTAATCTTAATAACTTTCGTCTCTAACATAAATAAAACTTAATTTCATATTTTTTTTCTCTTGGAAGGGCTTTGAACCAAAAAAAAAATTGAAAACCTAAAAAAAGTAAAACATCAAAATATTAAGATAAAGTAGGGAAAAGAGAAAGGCAATCGATTTGTTTTGGTTTAGTATTACAATCACAATGACATATATATATATATATATATATATATATATATGTATATATATATATATATACATATATATATACATATATAATAACTTGAAATTTGTTCATTATTCAAATTATAATTTCTTGATACAAGTTGAACGTGTTAAAATTATGTATTTTGATTACGTTTTATGTCATTTATTTTTAATAGTTTCACAGTTATTTTAAAAAGAACTTCTATTTTATTGATAGATCCATTAAATATAATTTTTTTTAGTGTATTTATGTGGACATAAACATATGCATTGTGAGTTACAACTTATAAATATATTATTATGTTTAATATTAATCACAAATGAAATATTGAGTGAGTCAAAATTTCAACTTCACGTTATGAATAGCTAAGTAGCTCTAGAAATTAACTACATTTTCCAGTAATGGAATCAACTTGTGAATTACAACTTAAAAGCTTTAATGCCATCAATCATTTAATCTTAATTTGAAGAAAATCCTTAGCCGATGAGTTACGTTTTGAGGAATACTGTCATGATAGCTGTTGATTTTGCTTTTGAAATTAGGATTTTGTTAACTTCATGAAAATAAGTAGTTAATAATAGTAAAATTTTATTAAAAAAATATTTATTTTATTTTTATAACTTCAATATAATAACTATATACTTTTTTTATAAAAAAAAATTATTTATGAATAATTAAACTTAATCTTAAAGACTGAGGATAACAAAATTCTTAGAATTATTATACCTTCATAAATTTCAAAGTGTTCTGGGGATGTGACCAAGTTGAATGTTGATGGAAGTTGAAAAAAAATTAAAAAGTGAGAAAGTAAATGCTTTCATTGAAGAAATTATCTTGCAAATTAATTAGAATTAGTTTTCACCTTAAAAGTTTTTTTGAACATGATTATTGGATATAGGAGGAAATTAGGTCAGTCAAATTGTTAGATAATAAATAATCTTGACATTTGAACTTCAGAATTTATTATTATTATCATTTAATTGCAATTAAAAAGATATAATACGATGAGTATATAACCACCTCAAACTATTTACTTAAATTGGTAGTACTCGTGAGAGACTTGTACTGCTTACCTTTCACAGTTAGTTTCATGAGTATTTGTTTGGTAAACGAGTTCAAAGATGAAAGTTCGTAATTTTTAGTTGTAAAATTAGTTAAAAATGGCTTATGAAAATAAAATTATTTGTAATACTAAAATTAGATATCACTTATTTTATTTATTTACTATGAATCAATTAATCTTATAATTACATATACATTTTTTTTCTCTTCATATATTTTGAATATGAAATATTCTAAGTTATATCTTTTTTAATATAAAATATATTGGATAAAAAAATAAGAAAAAGAAAAAAAGAAAACTATAATGAAAGTGAAGAGAATAAAAAGATAATGAGATACATGGGGTTTTAATTGCACAATAGATAAGTTATCTTTTATAATAAAATATAAAAATAAAATAGAAATATTGATAGTTAATTTTTTAATACTAAATATTTCTTTTGAAGAATTAGTTTTAAAGGTTACAAGTTCTTCTCATTTTTTATTTACCCAACACTTATGTTAGCCAAACTTATTGATTCTTTAATATTTTTAAAAAAACTAATTATCAAAATAAACAAAACTAAAACAATTTTCTTGTTTGAGATCTTTTTTCCATCATTGCAAATTATTTTTTTAATTAAATTTTATTTTTGATAAAGATGAAATTAAGTTTTGTTTAGAAACAAAACTTGTTGAGATTACGCCATGTGTCACATCTTTTTTAATTTGATTTTTTTTTTTAAAAAAGTCTTGGATGCATACAAAATTTAACATAATTTTGCATGTGTCTTAATTTGCTAGTTTTGTCTCTTCTATTAACTTGAACAAAATTGGCGATAATGCGGTAAAAAAAATCTTGTTTTAGTTTTGTTTTATTTTAATAATTAATTTTTAAGAAAATCAATAAGTCTATTAACTAAGTCAATAAACTATAAACTTCTAAACAACTACAAGTTACCTTTACTAAACATAAATTATAATTTTAATAAAAAAAAATTAACTTATTTCAATGAACTTTTTAATATGACTTATTAAAATAAATTATTTCTAGCCTTTTCTAATAAATTTTATGATTAAAATTTTAACGTAAGTTATTATTTTAAGAAAATCTTATTAAATAAATGCTTAATTAAAGACACACCTTAATTATATTTTTCAGAAGGCAAAAAAATAACAAATGATACAATGATTTAAAAATTAGTACATTAAGTAGAGATCACATCTACTAATTAACTTCAAAATAATCGAGCTCAATCATTTTATATCACTATTTAATTGATAAATAATCTCAATAACATGGTTGAATCAGAATCTAATCATATTAAAATTTTAAAATTTTAATCATATTTTGTTGGGTCATTAATTAAGTGCTTCCTTATCAAAGTTTGTAAATCATTTGTCACTGCCAAATTAAAAACGTCTGAATCTCATAACTTGTCGAACATGAGTTGGCACCTGCAGCATTTCAGGGCGACGTCCATATAATTTCAACAGTTGAAGGTAAGGCATTCCTCCTCCTTCTATTTTAAATGTTACCAAAGTGGAAAGCTCAACTACCAATACCTTCATTTTCATAAACCATCCCTCTTGGAAACACAACTCATGGCCTTTATACGATTCATAAAGTTGGAGCTCTACCAGTGATGACAAGTCTTTTATAAGAGGCAGTGGATCTTCTGTTAATTGTGATCCATACAAGCGCAACTTTACAAGACTTTTAAGTTTGGGAACCCAATCTGGCAACTTCCTCAAACGCCCGTCTAGGTAAAGGCGTTGGAGACTCTGAGGAGAAACAATTAATGATTCCAAGTCAATAACTTCTTCTTCAGCTGCTTTAATTGATAATGACCTCAAATAAGCCATGCACTCTATAGCATCGCATAATAATGTCCCATCTTTTCTATGTATATAAATGCCCAAATCCCTTATCTGCTTCAGATTCTTTAGTTCTTTCATAATCACATCCCCATTATCACGTGCATCAACCTTTCTTAACTTCTGCAGTGAACTTAAATGTCTAATTCCTCTCTTGAATTTCACACCGACACCTAAGCGATATGCCAAAAGATGACGCAACTTAACAAGTCTGTTAATCTCATGTGGCAATTCACGCACCTTAGTATGTTTTAAGTCTAGGGTCTCAAGATTATGCAACATACCAATGAACTTGGGAATCTTGCGGATGCGGGTTGACCTTAAACTCAAATATTTCAAATGAAATAAGTCTCCAACTGCTTTAGGAAGATAATAAAGAGGTGCACCTTCACAATCTAATCTTGCCAAGAGCTTAAAACTTGAGAACAATGATTCGAACACAGACGTTTGCGTGTATCGATCAATCCCAAAAAGAAAACAAGACCGAACTAGCCCATAGTTTGCAACACTTTTCTTCACAGGATCATCATCAATACATTCGTCAATCAACAAGCGCCGAGTCCACTCATGCAACTCGAGTCTCTGGCTTTTCTTCACTTGACAAAAGTTCAGCTCCTCACACTTTCTGAGAATAAAATCATGCAACAAATCATGGACCCTACAACGTCTAACTCGGTCATAGGAGAATACTTTAACCACTTTAACCAAGTTCCTAGCAATAAGCTCATTTAAGTATTCTTCTGCTACTTCCTCAAGTTTTTTACCATCATTCTCTTTGTTCTCTACAAAACCCTCTGCTATCCACAAATTAATTAGCCTCACACAACTGATCGAGTAATCCTCAGGGAAAAGGCCAAAGTATAAGAGGCATGACTTGAGGTGGTAACTAAGATCTTGGTAACTTTCAGACAGAACCTGATGGACGCAGCTAAGATGGGGATCACTTGAAAGTTTTGAGCGTAGGCTATCATATACCCTTTGCCATTCGAATACATTTTTATTTTTGGTTGAGAGGAGACTTGCAATAGCCACAATTGCTAGTGGCACTCCATTGCACTTCTTAACAAACTCTTTCGACAATTCTTTCAAATCTTTGGGACAACCTTCTTGGAAAGCCTTCAGACAAAAAAGGTTCCAAGCATCCTCATGTTTCAGTGGTTGCATGTCATAGATGTGAATTGGTCCATGACCTCCACAAAACTCAGCAACTCTCTTATCTCTTGTGGTGATGATTATCATACCTTTATTTCTTGGTAATGCATGTTCTACATCTCCCCAAAAGTTTTCTTCCCATACATCATCAAAAACAATCAAATAGCTCTCTCCTTGTAGGCATTCTCTTAGTTTTATTACCAGAGCGTTTCTGTCCATTTCACTAATTTCATTGACTAATTCTTTGTCGCCAGCCTCCTCATAAAACCTCTTTAGCAAAGTCTTCAATAGATTCTCTCCCCTGAGCAATCGGGATACAGTGATCCAGGCATAGCAATTAAAAGATCCTTCCTTCTTTTGTTGATTGAATACCTTGTTCACAACCGTTGTCTTACCTTGATATAAAAAAGTTTACAACATAAAAGTTTGAAAAAGTTAAAAACGTGATATGATGTTACAATATCCTAGAAACTATAAAAATTAAACCCTTCATAGGAATATATGAACTTCTAAAATAAAACAATATAATGATGTTTCAATGTTTTATGAATCCTCTAAATAGACACAACATTCCTATACCTTTTAATTTCTTAAAAGTTTGCTGAAGACCGTCTGATTTTAAGTTTAGCTTTCACATGGAGTACTGAAATTGTCCTTTCTTGTAAATAGTTTTCGTAGGCTCACGTAGAAACCTTTTAACCACTAAATTTTAACACTTAAGCTTCACGTCATGGATATTTTTATCTTGAGTTCATGGCATCTATATTTGAAGTTTATAAACAAACATTCATTAATCCACCTGAGATTGGATTATTTATCTCATGGGATAACTCAGACAAACCCTCGTTTATATTTACATTGTGAGTTACTATTTTTTTTATTATCATTAAAGTATTATTTAATAAGAGATTGGTCATGTGACCTTTAAAAGTGCTAACAACAAAAATGTACTACCTAATAAAGAAATTAAAGAAAATCAAACCACTTCAGAAAAATTATTTAAAAACACTTTTAATTAACTAAATTTTTAAAGATTTAATCTTTGACCAGTGACCTGACTTAATCAGATAAGGGTTACAAGGGTTAGTTTCCTATATTAAAGTAGAGTTAGATATAATTAACTATCCGTAAAATTTTTTATTAAATTTTAATTGTATAAATCAATAATCTAACGATTAAAAAGTTTGTTCGACTAAAACAATAAAATACAAGTAGATAAAAAAAAGATAATTTTTTAATATTAAATTATTAATTTGTATAATTAAGATTTAGTTTAAATATTTTAAACTTACACGAATAGATTCTATCTCATTAAAATATTACTTAAGTAGATAATAATAGCAGAAAGTAGAAAAGTAAAGAGTTGGAAAATTACCATGACCACCTTCGCCTACCACTGAGATCACAGTGCGACTACCTTTTTCTGACAACCAACTGGATAGTACTTGCTTGATGTGGTCAATCCCTACAAGCTGATCATCCTCAACGAAAAGGGCACCCTGTCGAAGATAATGCAGCGTGGTAATATCACTCCTTGGTTCCAAAGCAGATGGATTGAACCCAAAAGTTTCCTTTTCTCTGCTGAGTCTCTCTATTGACTCTCTGATCTCATCAATCTGTGATGCAATCTTATGGCGGGACATGACAGATCTGAGCAAGTCACAAATTTTACATACGACACTAGCAACCCCACAATTGTCTTGAAGCTTATTGTGAACTTGCAACAAGTACTCATCAATCACATCTTCAATACGATATGAAACTTGTCTCATTTGCATGATCCACTCTTTCACTGAGAGATTGGTTTTTCCCATTTCTGCTTTTGCATCTGCATCCTTTAAGTAAGCACGAATCATTTGTAACTGGCCTTTCACTGACTCAAGTTGGTTTGGCACTCCTCTCAGAAGATTAACCTCATCTCCAAGTAAAGGGATTAACTTGTCAATCACAAGGTTCACTGCAATTTCTGCCATTTGATGAAATAAACCTGTACCAAAGAAACAAAACTAAGCTCGCTGATAGATTTGCAACCATCGTGCATAGACACACGCCTTAAAATTCCAATAGTCCAATAGAAAATCAGTCATGGTAGCCACTCTTAAAATCTCTTCAATTTTGTATATAAAACCTCTTAAGGATAATAATTAACTAGGTAAAACAAGTGTTGAGATTAACACTTCAAAGTTTTAACGTAGTAACTGCCAATAGAATTTCCCAAATCATAAATCATTTTACAATCAATAATTTCTCATCTTTATAGTTCTTCAAGTAGAGCAAAATAGTAGTGGCAAAAATCTGATCTTAATCTTTGGCTCATTAAGCATCACACAAAATAATCACTTCGACTAAATGATAGAAACTACACTATGGAAAATACTCAGCTACTAATAGCAAAGTGAAACTCTGATAAATCAGAAAATTACAACAAATACAGAGGACATAAGTTAGAGTCACAAATGACTCATAGCAACATTACTTATTCTGATGATTAGTAAAAATAGAAAAGGTTTGAAGTATCAATAACGGTTAAATTCTCAGACATAAACAAAATTGAAACCGATCTTAATAAAAATATAAGATTAAACAAAAGACAAGGTAAATTACAGAATGGAGAAATTGAGCTTGAGAATAGGTGGAGGAAAAAACCAGGTTTTAGAGCTCAAAGTGCCTGAGATTCTTCTGTCCAAAAATAGAAGTTAATGTAGAAAATTGCATGAATATGCCGACACCTGTAACCACACAATCATATTATTTTAGATAATGGGAATACATATTTTATACTAAAAATGCAAACTATGAATTAATATTGGAGTTGATCAGTGATCACATGCAACCCTTAAAGTCAGAGAAACTCAGCGTCACCGATGGCAGCTGTTAGATTGTTAAATATGAGATTAAAAAACCCTTTAGTAAATAATATTTAAAAAATTGATTTTTAATTGAATTTAATAACATTGTGCGTGATTCATAGTCGATTTCAATTAATAATATAAGCTTTGCTTGTTATTTTTTTTAATATAAAAATCTCCAAACTAGCATGACAGCTCATAATCACACACAACTGAGTCAACTAACCTCAGAAAGTAAATTGTACATGCAAGCTTAGTTATTTATAAATGGTTTTTGTTTTTCATTCAATTTTTGGTATTTTTTAATTTTTCATCCTTCATTTTTGTTATTTACCTAGACACAATTATTTAAACAACAATTACAGATTTATAGTGTATTCATGGCAAGTGGGACTACAAGCTTTGTTATCTTTATGTGTTTAGAAATTATCATCTCATTTTTATTAAATACTAATTTATAAATTTATTTTGTAAAAATTAAAAATTGTGTTTATATATTCTCAAGAAATTTAAAGTCACATAAGTCTTGAATAAAATTATTTTTTATTGATTGATTTTATGAAAAAAGTAAACATACATTCAAAAATATTTCCATAATATATTAATATCAATAATTAGTTAAATCATATAGTAGGCTAAAATGTAACAAAATACTCATATAAAAATTAAATGTTTTTTAAATATAAAGACTAATTTGTAAATAATGTTAACTATATAGATTAAATGTATATTTTAATTATAAATTAACAAAACAAGATTTTTGATAGACTTGTCTAAAAAAAATTAAAAGTGAAGTATATCAAATAAAAAATTATAAATTTTTAAAAGAATACAAAATTATGTTTTTAAATAAAAAATTAGTATTAATAATTCAAAATTATACATATGTATTGATATAGAATTTTTTATTTTGTAAATATATAGATCAATAAAAAATTATATAAATATTAATAATAATTTATATAACAAAGAATTTTTATCACAGTTGAATAAAAAAATTAGATTTTATTACTACCAAAATAATTAACAGAGAAATTATAAAAAAATCAATTAATATGATTTTAAGTTGATATAACAAAATTTACTTATTTATATCATGAACGAAAGTAACAAATTCACTCATATAATTAAATTGATCTTATATAAAATTTTGAGTAACGATGGATTCTTAAATTTTAAATGTAATAAATATTTTATTTATATAAAAATGTATTTTTTTTTAAATATTCTATTGAGTAATATAACATGTAAAAATATAAAATAAAATAAAATAATTCAAAAATAAAGTATTACGAAAATAAAATAAAATTATAATACCAATTTTTTCTTAATTAAGTTTAGTGTACTTTTTATTCTTTTAGAATGATTTTTAATATATTTATAAATCAATTATTATACTTTAAATATAATTGTTTTTATAAATATAAAGAATAATTCATAAAGTTCATATGTGATGAATTATTAAATTATATTAAATTTTAATATTATAAATTAGAACTTAACTTGAATTTAGTTAAATTTCAATATTTTTAATCCGATCTAAACTAATCTATTAATTTATAATTAAATTGAGTAAAATTTCTTAGATTTCATGATGAACGAAATCCGTGAGTGAACAAGATTGACAAGATTGTTGAACATTATTGCTGCATAGTAAAGAAGAAGGGTATATTGACGTCACTGCATTGTATATTCAATCAAGCACAGGAATTACCCACATTCTCTTTTGAGTTGTAAACAACTTTCAATTCATTTGATTACTTTGATCATGATTCATCGTCTTTTTTAGGTTTACTTTGATGACTGCAGCTTTAGTGTTTTACTTTCTTCTCACCTTAGCTTTATCTATAACGTTTAATGTTTTGCTGCTTCTCTCAATCTTAGCTTTTTTATATATATTAATATAGATTTATGAAAAATCAAATATTTAAATATTAATATTAATAATACATATTATAATTCAATTAATATTAGTTCAATCCTTATTTTCTATATTATTTTGAACTAAAACTTTATATTTTAATCATCTAATTTGTTACGTTTTAGACTAGAAGGTTGAACTACATTATTAATTAAGTTTTTTTAAGATTTTATATTTATTATGATTAGTGAAATAGGTTATTTGATTTCTATTTAAATTATTGTTATTTTTTTTATAGGCAAAACATATATTATTAGAGAGAGTTCAAGGGGAATTCAAAATCCATACACACAGAAAAAAATTACTAACTCAGAGAAATAAAAAGTAAAAATATACTTATACAAAGCTAAAACAGATGCAATTTCGTGGGTTCAAAAATCAATCAGCTAACAAAATAGCTTCTCCTTTACTAACAAGTGATAGTCATTTCTAGGACCTCAGAATAATAGAATCTAGAACTTCCCTCTCATCTAAAACACCATTGGAAAATACAATTTTATTTCTATGTAACCACAAAGATCACACTGTACTTACCCAAACCCAAACAATTAATAAGCATATTCCTTCTCTTTTACTACAGCTAACACCAATCCAAGAAAGCAAGTGAGTCGATATATCTGAAGGCAAAACCAGTGAGAATCCAAGCCAACGCGTAGTAAAGTACCAGATTTGAGATGAAACTGAACACGTTAAAAATAAATGAGTTAGAAGTTCCTCCAAACTATGACAGAAGCAACAAGTTATATCATCAATTTGAATACATCGATCAATCAGCAAACCCTTACAAGGAAGTGCATTCAGCAACAATTGCCAAGAAAATACCAGACACTTAAGAGGGACCTTTCCTCTCCATAGCCTTTGCAAGGCATCTGCCGTACACTGATCTACACTATTAGGACCACCAAAAAGTTCAAATAGTCATGAATACGCAGATTGTACTGAATAACAACCTGAAGAATCTGTCCTCCATACCCATTTATCTTCTTATAGTAACTTAATAGAAACTCCATTCACAAACTCTAACAAAAGATTAAAGCTTGAGATCTCATGTTGAAAGAGTCCTCTTCGCCAACTAACATCCCAAACCCACCTAGTGCCATCATGAAAACCATTCTCCAATACACATGATTCAGCATTCCTTACCACCGCAAACAATCGCGAAAATGCTTCACACAATCGCACCCCGCCTACCCACTTATCTCTCCAAAAAAGAGTGTGTAAACCTGCACCCACACTCCTATCAAACTTCTCATCCAGTCAAGAATTCCCTTAATGAATAACCTCCATCAAATCACGCCACCACAAAGAACATTTGTTGTGGACTGATGGATGCTGAATAGAAGAAGCTAATCTTTCATATCTAGATTTCAACACCTGCACCCACAATGAACTAGAACAATTAACACATCGCCACAACCATTTACCAAGAAGCGCTCAGTTAAACCACTGCACATTCCTAATGCCTAAGCCACCATTCTTCCACGGTCTACATACTGTTTCCCATTTCATTCAGGGGATTTTAGATCCATCCTTAACACCCTTCCATAAAAAATTTCGTTGAATAGTGACAATCTCTTTTATCACCGACTTCGGCACCTTAAAAAAGGATAACGAGTGCAATGACATAGAATTAAGAACTGCATTAATCAAAGTCACCATGCCTCCAATCGATAAATACCTATGCTTCCACAATGCTAGCCTCTTTTTAAGGGCATCTAACACACCCTTTCATGCACTAGGCTTTCTCGAGTTAACACCTAACTGTAACCCGAGATACTTTAATGGAAAACTACCAATCTTACAATGGAGGAACTCCACAGCCATGTTTTCAAAATTATCACCAGTATTAATCTCCAATACACAACTTTTATGAAAGTTAATTTTCATACCTGACATTAATTCAAAGCTACGCAATACTGCTTTCAAAGTCCACAAGTTCTGAACCGAAGCCTCTCCCATAATCAATGTGTCATCCGCAAACTGCAGCAAAGAAATATCTTATCCCTCTATCGAGAACAACCCACAAGTCACTGCCTTTCACATAAGAACTCGTAACCCTTCCGCTGCCACAAGAAAAAGAAAAGGGGCAAAAGGATCCCCCTGTTTTAGGCCTCGCTCAATATGAACCTCCAATGTAGGACAACCATTAATCAAAGCTGATAGGCTATCCCCACACACACAAGCTTCCATCCAACTGACCTATTTTTCTGAAAATCCAAAGCTACGTAACATAAACAAAAGATATCCTCACTCAACCGAATCATAAACCTTCTCATAATCAAGCTTTAACACAAAACATCTATTGTTATACCTCCACACATAATCAACAGCTTCATTAGCCACAAGCACACTATCTAACATGTTCCTTCCTAGAATAAAGGCTGATTGTTCTTCTGAAATTATTGAATCCAAAACTCCTTTCAACCTATTTGCCAAAAGCTTGAAAACAATCTTATAAAGACAACCTAACAATGAGATAGGCCGAAAATCAGATATATGTTGTGGGCAAGACACTTTTGGCACAAGTGCTACAAAGTAGGATAACAAAGACCTAGGTAGTTTTCCATTTCTAAAAAATTCAGTAAGCATACTCATTACTTCTTCCTTGATCACTCCCCAATACCTCTTAAAGAACATAAAATTAAAACCATCAGGCCTTGGACTTTTATCACCTTCACACTCCAAAATCATCCTTCTCACTTCCTTCTCCGAAAAAATATTAACAAGCCCCTCATTCATTTAAATTATTGTTATTATGTTTAATTGTTATTAAAATTATGTTTAATTATTATTAAAATTTTTGAAAGTTTTATTTTTCATTATAAATACTCGTGTAAGATTGATTTTAAAAAATTAGTTTTGAATTACAATTAAGAATTATCTTCGAGAGAGTTTATATGTCTCTTAGGATGGTTTAAAAAAAAA